CATGTCTTCCCTGTCTTCAAAGAATTTTGAATCCAAATGAAAAACGGGAGGAAAATAATGAGAACTAAAAGGTTAATTCATTAAGAAAAATTACTCTCTTTACAACTAGCATTTGAATTGGCAGAATTAATCCAAGGGACTGTCTCAGAACCATTAAAAGCTAACAAATTAAACTGATTTTAAATACGGCTATAAATTATTACACAATGGTTATAAGTAAGTGAAAAGATCAATGAAGAACAAGTAAGTTAATGTAACAGAGAAGGTAAGTTTTCAACCAGGTTCACTTGTCAGACAATGTTCAAAACTTTTATGAGTCAGGCACTGATTTAGGAATCAGGGACAAAGAAGTAAACAAACACACAGAAGCCTACTTCTATGAAGCTTATAATCCATTCCAGGAGTCTCTTGCTAGACTGGATGGATGGATGGATGGATGGATAGATGGACAGACAGACAGGACAGACAAACAGATGTCAGGTAATAGTAAGTTCTATAAAGAAAAATAACGCAGGATAAGGAAAAGAGCTTCAGATCTCAGAAGTACTGGAAAGGGACAAGAGAAGACTAAAGAATAAGTAAAGAATGAGAACTGGGTAAGGTACGCAAGTGTTGAATCACTATATTGTACACCTGAAACTAATATAACACTGTATATTAACTAACTAGAATTAAAATAAAACCTTAGGGGCGCCTAGGTGGCTCAGTGGGTTAAGCCTCTGCCTTTGGCTCAGCTCAGGTCATGATCCCAGGGTCCTGGGATCGAGCCCCACATCGGGCTCTCTACTCAGCAGGGAGCCTGCCTCCCCCTCTCTCTCTGCCTGCCTCTCTGCCTACTTGGGATCTCCGTCTGTCAAATAAATAAATAAAATCTTTAAAAAATAAAATAAAATAAAACTTAAAAAAAACTAAAACCGTTAAAAAAAAAAAACAACTAAAAGCATTACCAAAGGAAAAAAAAGAACAAAGATTAAGTCTACTTTAAAACATATGAAGGCTTTCTGGCAAAGACAAGCAGTAGGATAACACTGGATACTTTCTGAGAACTGTAAAGGCATGGGAACTGAAGAACCTGAATGTTCTATTTACTCACTATTACTCTTACAAATGAGACTTTGTGAGGTAGCTGTTAAAAAAGAAGGAAAGTTAAGAGGATGAATATGTTCAGTTATATTTAGATTCATTTCCTTAGGTTTCTAAATATAGAGATAAGATGCTAAAAATACCGTGCATAGATTATTCCAGTATCTACAGAATGAATTAAATTAGAAAGACAAGAAACACAGGGAGACTCTTGTAAAATAAGCATGAGATAAAGGGTTCCAATCTAGGTGAAGGCTGTAGAAAGCAAGATGGATGGATGTAATGTAATGATAGCAGAGAAAAAAACTAACGGGGCTTTGTGATGAACGGTTGGAGAACAAAGGGTTAAAGTAATGAAAAGTAACATTAAAAGTTAGGAGATTCTCGGGAGCCTGGATGGCTCAGTTCGTTAAGCATCTGACTCTTGATTTCCACTCAGGTCATGAGTGTCTCAGCATGGAGTCTGCTAGAAATTCTCTACCCTTCCCCTGCTTGCGCTTTCTCTCCCTAAAATAAATAAACCCAATCTTTAAAAAAAAAAAATCTGAGATTCTGCCTTTTAACTGATTGAAACTGACAGAAGATTTTCTGAGCCATTTCACTGCCACTGATTTTCTCTTTTTCTAGTTATCTATTTGCTTCCTTACATGCTTTCTTCAATCTATATTTAGAGTTAAGTGCTCACATCAAATTTGATTTCTTAATTTGAAACTAATTAATGCTCTTATTTTCTTCTCTTCTGGCATAATTTCATTAGGAAAAGGTATTTCTGTCACTGTCTCTTTTCACGCCCATGGAAATTCTTGCACTTTTCTGGTGTTTTAGTGACTTAAGTGGATTTTTAGAAGGCAACAGGATATAAAACCTAGAATAAGAGGAGATGCTAGGAGACCAGCACTTTTTATAAAGGCAGATTTTTATCACAATTTTTTAAAAAAGATTTTATTTATTTGAGACAGAGATCACAAGTAGGCAGAGAGGCAGACCGGTGGGGGTGGGGGAGCAGGCACCCCGCTGAGCAGAGAGCCCGATCCGGGGCTCAATCCCAGGACCCTGAGATCATGACCTGAGCTGAAGGCAGAGGCTTTAACCCACTGAAACACCCAGGTGCCCCTTTTTCACATTTTTTTAAACCATGTATTTTTTTTTAAAGCAAATTCATATAAAATGTCTGAGTAAGGTTCAAAGCATTCCCAACACTATAGATATTCTTGACGTCTACAGAAGTTATATTCTGAAATGTGTAAATCCAGCAGGAAACCCAAAGATTTGCAGAGTAGTTCACTGCTGCCAAAAGGAAGACAGTGCTAGTATAGTAGCCATTTGGGTCCAATCCCATTAAGTAGAGAGGAAGAGTGTTAGAAATGAGCAATGGACCAGAAACCAAGGATTCCTGGGGTAAGTTGCATTTCATCATTTATTTAGTTGAAGAACCTTTCCAAGTCTCAGCTTTCTCTATCTCTAAAACAGGATGTGATAGCAAGCCCATCTACCTTAAAAATTATTTTGAGAAGAAGGTGATACAAGTGCTCAGAAAATGTTAGGTGGTGTTCAAGTAGGTGGTATTCAAGTAGTTCCTGGTAAATTTGTAGCACTGGAATAAAGTTTTTTCTCTTAAATACATTTAAGGTCCTAATCACTCAACAATCTATACAGGAAAAATAATAAATAAATGATAGGGGTTCTGGGTGGCTCAATTGGTTAAGCATCCAACTCTTGATTTCGACTCAGGTCATGATCTCAGGGTCATAAAATGGAGCCCCACATCAGACTCCACACTCAGCAGGGGGTCTGCTTCTTTCCCTCTTCCTCTGCCCTTCCCCCCACTCGCACATGCTCTAAAATAAATAAATTCTTAAAAAATTAAATGATCCATATCTGAGGTTAAAAGTATAAATAACAGGGGCACCTGGGTGGCTCAGTGGGTTAAAGCCTCCGGCTCAGGTCATGATCCCAGACTCCTGGGATCGAGCCCCACATCAGGCTCTCTGCTCAGCAGGGAGCCTGCTTCCTCCTCTCTCTCTCTGCCTGCCTCTCTGCCTACTTGTGATCTCTGTCAAATAAATAAATAAAATCTTTAAAAAAAAGTATACATAACAAACAAAAAAAACTGGGAAAAAAAAAAAAGAAAAAAGGACATGAGGGAGACCTACAATCTCAAGAGAACATCTACACCAACCATTAGGGAAATCATCAACATTTTATTTATTTTTTTTTTAAGATTTTATTTATTTATCTGTCAGAGAGAGAGAGGGAGAGAGAGCAAGCACAGGCAGACAGAATGGCAGGCAGAGGCAGAGGGAGAAGCAGGCTCCCTGACAAGCAAGGAGCCCAATGTGGGACTCGATCCCAGGACGCTGGGATCATGACCTGAGCCGAAGGCAGCTGCTTAACCAACTGAGCCACCCAGGCGTCCCATCATCAACATTTTAAAAGATTATCAAAATCTAGTACTTCTTTAGCAAGTTAAGCCAGTATTTAGAACTACTATTGGTAAAAGACAGAACACAAAGTAAACTATGTATATATTTCCATAATCCATTTTATAAAAGCAAATACATACAAAATAACTGACTTAAAAAAAAGTTATGGCTGCATCAATTACTCTCACTCCCAGCCATTTTCATTATAAATACTTTGATTAAGAAACAGGAAGAAAAGGTTACTTTAACATGGACAAAAGGGGAAAAAAAGAGGCATCTGGGCAAATATATGAATTGCAAAGAACATGGCTTTTACCTTTTAATGAGGACTAAATTCACTATCCACTCCAAGTTACTGGTAGTCCCTGAGATGCCAATTTATGAAATGAGTTAAATGCTCAAAAGTCTAAAAAACAAAAGGACTGATCACCTATGCTTCCCAAGTCTATGAAATACACAGAGACTAGATTCAAACTGGGTCAATACAAACTAATATTGGTAGTGTAACACTGTAGGGATTGGCAAATGGAAATACTACATGTATTCAAGTGGGAAAGGAATAACAAGTCCATTACCAAATGCTCACATCAATGTTTTCAAATAAGTTTTAAACACATGAAAGTAACCAATCACTTGGCATCAGAAGCAGTGTAAGAAAAGAGTACTTTAATAATTACGTGTTATTTCTACCAAGTGTTACACAACAGGAGCAGAGCCATAATGAATGAGAAGCCATTCTATCACTTCCTGAGTGTTACATCTACTAGTATGCCACAAGAAAAGTGAGTAACAAAGAAACTGCACATCTCTTCTAACCACAGTGGGGAAAAGCTTTTCTAAAAAAATCCAGATTCCCCTAATGCTAACAATAATGGGATGAAAGTGTGAATATTTGGGGTGAAATTTCAGGAACTGGGAGAGGGTCCTAGAAACAATTGAAGAGGAAAGTCTCTTCTTTAAAGAAATTAGGTCAGCATGGCATTTCAAGATTTTTTTTTTTGCCTTCCCATCATCCCCACCTCCACCACCATTTGTTTTTAAATACATGTATCTAGTGAAAGAATAACATTCACCACTTTTATAGACTTGCTACATTCAACAAATATCTCAAGGGCAACACCTTTGTTGTAGCACCGCACCAGTCAAACCAAAACACTGGAGCTCTGAGTTCAAGGTTTCTAGGGTTCACAAAGGAGAGCAAAGCCACAATCATGAACAGAAAGTAGGTTCCTTAAACTCAAAAAAAAAAACTGTCCTCTGCATTGATCAACTGTAAGTTGTCAAGAATTTTCATCCTTAATGTTTGTAATCTGTTTGTCCACTTCTTCCAAGTAATCAATATTCTTAAAAGTTTTTTTAGTGATAAAGAAGCAAAGAACATCCACTGTCAAAGGGAAAAATAATGTTTCTTAAGTTGTATAAAAGGAATTTTTAGTATTCTATCCTTCCCATATCACGCACATTTTAAAAGAGTTACATGTGGCACATAAGTACCTGTGCTCCTGATACAGGACCAAAGGGGTTTGGTGGTCTCATGACAGGCTGGCTATATATTAAGGTTGGCTGCGTCATTACAGGTACACTTCCCATCTGAGGAGGCTAAAAAAAAAAGAAAAGAAAAAGAAAAAGAAAAATATTAAGTTAGTTAATGTTGATTAACATTTTGCTTAAGTAGTAAACAAGAAGAACGGCAGGAATGGAACGTACTAGTATTTTAACTCAAAGCAAAATTCTTGTAAATACAAGTAAGACTGACAGCCATAAATTCTTAAGAGTTTTTTTAAAGTCTTTGATGTATATACTTCTAAGGTTTAAAAAAAAAAAAAAGCTTAAATTTAAGCAAAATTTAAACCTTACTACAGTATGGCAGACAAAATTTTAACCAATTCAAAATTTTCAAATTTGCAGTTTTAGACATAGGAAAACTTGAAACTGTAAAATGGCTAAGATATTTCAAAATAAACTACCTTTGAATGTCAAATCAAGTTCTTATGCCATTATGCAAGTGATCCTAAGTGAATACAGTTGTTTCTTTGAAGTGGTTTACTCTCAATAGTTCTTTCCTTTTATTTCATCTATTGTTAGGGAGAACCAAGAATAGGCTTAAATAACATATGAAGAGATTAGTTCATTCTTGAGTAACTGAAAATTGAGTCTCAACCAACCATCTCTTTGTTTAAAAACTACTACTCCATGGTATAGAATTAACACAAATAAGTAACCAAATAGAGAACACACACACCGCGGTTATCATTTTGGTTAAAATACCATACTCTATAATCTTATCTTTCTACAGGTTCTACCTTTCAATTAAACTCCAGAGCTACTTCCATAAAATGTAAATAAAGAAGTAGCACAGCAGCCACAGTAGCAATCCCAAGGGATGTGATGCTGCCTCCTACTAGCAACAGTTCCTCAACCACATACAGGGGTTGAAGCCATTACCTCCATTTCTTATCCAAGTGAGTCTTAGAGAGTTGGGAGAGTAAGGGCAGTGTAGACTGGATTGTGGGCAGCTTAAAAGTAAGGCAAGTATTTCTGTATGATAGTAATTAATCACTGTCATAGGGAAGTTTCTCTGGCCTATACCGGACTAAATTTGCCCCTACACAATTCAAGAAATGTTAATTCCTCTCTTCCCCTATAGTATTAAGGTTTTAGGACTTCAATGGTATTAATATAAGGGCACACAAAGGGTTGGAGATAACATTCATGTTTAAACGAGTTTGTAATGAAGTATAAAATACTTAGCAAAGTTATGAGGGGAAAAAGAAGCTAGGTAATACTATGAACATTCATAAATGATATCTACTGTAGAATGACAATTCTAGAAATATTTATGAAACCAATGTTATGATACAAGATTCTATGTTATGCACTAAAGGTATGTGCGTCACCAAGTTCATTTTTTAGTAACTGTAAAAAGGCATGTTAAATATAAATCAATCTATTTTCAAAAAAGTTATGTATGGAAAAATACTTACAATTCCATATCCTATCATGCCTGTGGGTGTAGTAGCAGGATAGGCCATTACAGGGGGTGCCTGACATGGTGGAGAAAAAATAAACAAGGATGTATAATTCATGTTACATCAGTTGAATTCAAGGAATTAATAGCATAGTTCCACTAAAAAGAATTGCTAAGACAGCTGTGATTAAATGTGACACTTAGGATCATTAATAACTGTGTCAATTAATGCTCAATGAAAAAAGAGTGTCTTAAAATTAGCAGAAAAGCAGATCAGAAAAATAAAAACATTTAAACTTAGATACAACAGTGATCTAAAATTTCAACGTGCTTTTTACAACTTTAAAGATCTTCAGATTTAAAAAAAAAATACTGAACATTCTAAAATTTGAGGTCTATTGCTATTACAAAAAATGTTTACCCAGGGGTACCTGGGTGGCTCAGTTGGCTAAGCACCTGCCTTCGGCTCAGGTCATGGTAACGGGGGTTCCTGGGATCGAGCACCAGGTCAGGCTCCCTGCTTGGCGGGGAGCCTTCTTCTCCCTCTCCTTCTTGCTCTTGCTCTCTCTCATTATCTCTCTCTCAAATAAAGAATAAAATCTTAAAAAAAAAAATTACCCAGAAAAAGTATTAGTGAATGTCTTCCTAGGTGCTTCAGTATTTTGAGCAAGAAAAAAAAAAGTTAAAGATCCCATATCATTTAATCTGATCTTTCAAAAATTTATTCTGAAGACCTCAATTCACCTTTTTCAAAGAACCTCAAAGATTTCAAAACACTACTGAGTGTGACTATTTTTATGAGGCACACAGTTTTTATACAGAGTACATGTATTAGCACTTCTTGTAATTTACTCTGTAAATTATTTAAACAATCTTCTACAAAGCACCAATTTGGAGCAAGCAATTTTTAAATCTGTTTATTCTTAAACGCTTAAAAGAACCACCTAGCCCTATGATGTTTAAAGTTCCCCTCCACCTTCTACCCTACACCTCAAGCTTTCTGTAAATATACAATGTGAGCACAAAATCATTTTAAATATATTTGCTGTCTTAACAACATTCCCTCTGTGTGTGTGTGTGTGTGTGTGTGTGTGTGTGTGTATTATCTTATAATGAAAACTGAAACTGAATACAGGAGAAAGACCAATAACACTGCTGAAATATAAAAAATAAATTACATGGCAATTTGAACATATGCGTGGAGCAGTTAAATGAAGCATAACTAAAGTGAATAGTTAAAAGTTTAGTATTTGAGTGAGCATGTAGGATTTATTGGTCTCTCCCTACTTAAAAACTGAGAGCTGCAAGAGCAGTAGACAAACTGCCAAGTACAGCGGAAGCCTGTAAGATTTCATGCAATTGTTATTTTCAACATTACAACAATCAACATTTCCCTTCATTCAGAAATCATCAAGTGCATAGTGGCAGCACAGATACACACACAGACACCCAGCCATCTGGCAGCAAATGGCAGAATGTTAAGCAAGAAAAAAAAAAGTCTGTATTTCCCATGCCACCATCAGAATCAATTCTGCAACACATCCATGAAATCAGTAGATGCTAGAAAGAATTTCTGGCACATTGAAAATCTGAATGTGAAAAAAGTAATAGCTGGAAGGTTATGAGATTCTGCTATAGCAGTGGTTAATAGCATGCCAATTTATTGCAAAAAAGGCTAGTTTTTGGTCACTTACGTATTGTGGAAAATGCATGCCATTCTGTTTTTCCCAGGGAGAACAATTACATAATGCAATAACACTGGATTAGAACAAATACTTACACAACAGAAAATAACACAGAGAGCATTTTAGTTCACATGTACATTCACTAACTACCTAAAATCCCTTGTATTTCCGGTATCTAATGGAAGAACACCTATACTAAAACACTATCAAGGTTGACAAGGGAAATTTAGTCTCCAACATAATCCCCTTACATATCTAATAGTTTATGACAACTATCATAAAACATAAAATCTATCAGTAGTGTCAACACTGCAAAATTCAGTGCGTCCCATAAACAGGGTTGCACCATATGTCTACCACTCAGGAAAAAAGAAAGCAATAATTCAAAAAATTTATAGTATAATATCATCATACAGATTAATAAAAGACCAATGAATTTTTTAACTTAAAAAAGTTCAAAAACCTTGACAGTGTTTATGGATTAATAAAAAGGTTAGAAATGTAAAGAAATGACATAAGCAGCAGTTTATCTAAGTAGTGAATCACATCACCAGCCCTCTATGTTAGACATTAAAAAGAAACTCTATTATATACATACATACAAATATTTTAAGAAAATTCTTAAGAGATGACACACAATGACACAGTTGCATAAATATCATCAACTTACATACAAATTCTAACTGGTTAAATGCCTATTACATTCTGGTAGTCAATCAAGTCAAGTGCTATCGACAAACTTCTAATATTTCATATAGGTCAATACCAATTTAATACAAAATAATAAAATATTCATTGTATTTTCATATCAGCATTTGGATTTTTAACAGTCTTCATGTATTATCAATGTGTAATTCACACCAAACAGTATAAAATCCACTAACCTAACCTTTTGTCATCCCCTGGTCAGTGAAGTTTGTTACAGTACAGATAAACCTGGGATTCAGAGTCAGAGAGAATGGATTTCAACTAAAATCTGCTTTCTAGATGTTTTAATACTTCCAAAAGAGAAATTGCCTAACTTTATTCTTGTAATTGGGATGCTATCAATTCAAACTTCCCCAAGAATGCAGTGTTAACAGACTCAAGATAGTGAAGATACATGTATGTGTAAAAACCTAACAAGCTAATTAAATGAAAGGATTTATTAGAATGGCAGTGACCTCTATTAATGAAAAAGTGTTGCCTTAAAAAGGTGGCTAAATTAAAAAAAAAAAAGTTGGCTAAATTTTTATTTTTCATCGAAGAAGACTAAACCTAACAAAACTCTTTATATAATGTCACAAATTTTATTAGCACATTATTTTTAGATGAGCCCTGGTAATTTTCACATACGATTAAGCCCAGGAAAACAAGGTGGTGCTCTGGAAGTGATTTAATACAAGAAAGTGGCTATAAGAGGGATAATGATGGTCTTTAACAACAGGAAGGCTACAATGTGTAGCCTATGTAATCGAAATGCTATTTATTTCCAGAATATTGTTAAGAAAGCTTGTTTTAGGGACGCCTGGGTGGCTCAGTGGGTTAAGCTGCTGGCTTCGGCTCAGGTCATGATCCCAGGGTCCTGGGATCAAGTCCCGCATCGGGCTCCTTGCTCAGCGGGGAGCCTGCCTCTCTCTCTGCCTGCTTGTATGCTTTCTCTCTCTCTCTTTCTGACAAATAAATAAATAAAATCTTAAAAAAAAAAAAAAAAAGCTTGTTTTAAATTTTTCTTTAAGAAGAAACTGGTTTGGGGTGCCCGGGTGGCTCAGTGGGTTAAGCCTTTGCCTTCGGCTCAGGTCATGATCTCAGGGTCTTGGGATCAAGCCCCGCGTCGGGTTCTCTGTGCGGCAGGGAGCCTGCTTCCCCTGCCTGACTCTCTGCCTACTTGTGATCTCTCTCTGTCAAATAAATAAAATCTTTTAAAAAAAAAAAAAAAAGAAGAAGAAGAAGAAGAACAAACTGGTTTTCTCTAATGTGGGAAAACTTCCCGCACTGGTGAAATAGCAGCTAAGGACAGGGGTAAAGCCATAAAGCTACTCTGGGACAACCATACCTTATAGTGATTAAAAACATTAGCAGAACTTCTTCAGTACTAGATGCTAACTAGTTACTTGGCATATAAATTAATCCTCATTTTTCATACTTTCTATATTTCTAAATTTGCTTACTTGCTAAAATTTGTGATCCCGAAAACTAACGTTTGTGGTGCTTTCAAGGTCACTGACAGACATGCATGGAGTGGTGAAAAATTTGTTGCCTAACACCTTCATTCTCAGCTGAGGCTGAACAAAATAAGATTCTGCCTTGTTTCAGCTCTGATATAACAATGACCAGAGGGATGGAGAACACAGGGAATAATGCAGTATACTACTGCAAGAAGCTCTCTGGCTGTGGAGCCAGCTAGATAGGGCTGGATTCTCAAGTTTAGTGCTGCAGGCTCAGGTAAGTAAGTCACTTAACTCTTACGAACCACATTTTCTTTTTAAAAAAAAAAAAAAAAAAAAAAGGCATCTGCTAGAAAAAGTATTTTTTTAGGATTTGAGATAATAATGAATGTAAGGGGTATATGTGTGTATGTATGTGTGTGTGTGTGTGTGTGTGTACATACACACACAGGCAATTCTCCTTATTGTTGCACCTATGTTGTTAAAGTAACCCAATACTAAATCAGTGAACCCTGAACCATTGCTAAAGGAAATATGTACACATGTACGTGTGAGCCTAGCAATGGTTCAGTGTTTAGGGGATTTTAAGAATATAATTATAGCAAGTAAGGAAAATCAACTCTATGAACTATTTGACAACATTAACAAAAACCAAACATGTACAGTTTCTTTACCAATGGTGAGATCAAAAAAACACTAATGATTTTATATTCTAGATAAATACATAAATAAATTTGAGATCAGAAGTAGAGGGTAATGATTAAAGAGTTTAAGCTCTGCGGTTAGGCTTCCTGTATTCTAAAAATCCACCCAATCACTTAAAAACTCTGGGATCCTAGGCATATTATGTAGTAACTCTGTGCCTCCATTTCATCTGCACAGTGAGGACAGTAACAGTTACCACCACATGTAGTTAATTTGAGGATTATAGAAGAAAAAAATCACACATTATTTATTAGAATGATGGCTGGCACAAAGTAACCCTTAAATAAGTGTTGGCTACTAAAATATACTTGGCAAATATAGTCAATCAGCTTCCTTAAAAAAAAATGTAAAAATTACTTATATATCTAAAACTCAATAAACAAATCTTCCCACTTACAGCTATCACTTTAAAAACATTTTCATGTTATTCTCCTAAATTAGTCATGTTACTGTGAGCTTTTTCAACTCACCATTGTTGCAGCATTCCAAGCAGTTGTTGGTGCAACCTTTGGCTGCCAGTTAGATCCTCCAGTTAGCTTCTTTTCACCTGGCTGACTCCAATTTACATCACTTTAAATAAACATCAGTGATAATGTTAAATGTCTATAATTGTAAAGTTTCTTTACTATATACTTAGATTGAACAAAAAGCATTTAATATGCAGATCTGACAGGTCTACACATATTTTTGAGATGAAAGCCAAATCAACCTCCAAATGGTACATGGGGGAAATAATACATATAAAACACTCACTTCTTAGTAGTTCCATTTCCAATGCCAAGATCTACAACAGGAAATAAAGAAAGCATTTAAAAACTAGACTCATTTTTATAATACAATTAATTGTGAAGAAGATTAAAAGAATCCAAAGAATACTTACTGCCCACCAGGTTGGCTAAGGATGAATCCAAGTCATCAGATACTAACTTGTTAGGTGGGAGTTTGGCAACAGGAAGACTCTGGTTCTGAGAGGCCACTGTTGGTTTGAGAAGTCCACCTAGTTCATCAAAGCCTTAAAGTTACAAACAGATGAAACAAGATTTGTAAGGGACTTTATGGTGCTAGCTTTCTACAGGAGATCTCTGCCTTTTCTACTTATTCGTCTGCCGGAAAAGTCCTCCACGATGTTGGACATTAATTAATGACTTTAAATGGAAGAGGGAGAAATTCACCATTTCAAAGTGAACTGACTGAAAAGATCTGTCATGTCTTATTTCATGACAAAATTATATTAAGGTTAGGGGCACCTGGGTGGCTCAGTGGGTTGGGTCTCTGCCTTCAGCTCAGGTCACGATCTCAGGGTCTTGGGATGGAGCTCCACATGGGGAATCTCTGCTCAGCAGGGAGCCTGCTTCCCCCTACCCTCTGCCTGCCTCTCCGCCTACTTGTGATCTCTGTCAAATAAATAAATAAAATCTTAAAAAAAAATTATATAAAGGTTAAAGGGGATAAGAAAGAAGCATTCGAGTAAACAATTCTTATTCCAAAGTTGTGAAAGAGAAGGGAATGGAATGGAATTCTCCCCCTCACTGGCAAGATTTTCTAAAGATTCACTTATACCTGAGGAAATATAGACAAAAAATACATCTCTGTTCCTTTGAAAAATGTTTCATCTAATAAGTATTTTGTAGACCTTTTTACATTCTTCAGAGTAAAGAATGTAAGGTATATGTAAACCACAACATTAGAAGGAAGTAAAAATGTACCATTTGATTATCACTTTTTGTCTGTCTAAAAACAGTTAACCTAAATTATACCTAAGAAATTGCTAACCTTATGCTCCAATGACATTAAACCATCTACTAAACTAGGACATTGCTTAGAAATGAAAATAAAATAGAACCCTTAAGGTTCTCTACCAAAGCGAGAAAAGTGAATCCAATCAAACAAATCCAGTAAAGGACTCAGTAACATGACCCAGGACTGATATAAGAGAATTTCAAAAACAAGGTCACCAAAAATGGTGGTGTACAAAATATGAGTAGCTGATCTCTATTTACTTTATCCTTTTTCCCAGAAAAACAAACTCAAAAGGAAAAAGCCAAATGCATCCAAAAATGTAATTATAAACCTACTAGTGCACAGAGAAAAAAAATTCTTAGTCCATACATACTCTTTATAAGATTGTAATATAATTGTGTATTATAAAATAAAAAACGCCTCAGTATGTTTCTTCAAATGACTTGAACTTATTTACTAATCAAAATCAAAGGTCATTCCATGGAAAGAATAATAAATTTCATGGAAACTCTTAATCTTTACAAAGTTCAAATTAACAAAATACTAAATGAAAACAAATGGAAACCTGGCTCTACAAATTTATGTAAGTCCTAATTTTAAGACAAATGAACAAGCATACTACAGAAAGAACCATCCTTAAAAATAACAAAAAGCCCCTAGAGCTCTGGTACTTAATACATTCTAGCTGGTTAAGCACCAACTGTCTCAACAAGTCAGGTACCAAATGTTTTATTTTTCCTACTTTTCAAAAAAGCCAATTTCATTTCAGTAAAGGTGAAAATTGTAATGACTGCAAAGCACAACATTCTACACATAACCATTAGCAATTTATCAATCTAATGTGAGGAAGATCTCATTTAGCTCTAGGAGAAACAAAATCCTCCCAGAATCAAAACTGCCACTAAGAAAAGGGTAACAGTTAATAATCCCTTGAAGTTCTTCTCATCTAGTAGCTGGGAGAAGAGAAACAACTTCACTGGCTTACCCCAATTTAATCTATTTACATATGTTCAAAAGATATTATTATCTGTCCTTGCACAGAATCTAAATGAGAACATTATAGTAATGTTAACAGAACAATTTTTTCTTACCCCCAGAATCTACAATAACGTTGGTAGATTTATTTCCAAACACAGATTCAAAGTCAACATTAAGGCCAGCCGAAGGATGTGGCTGTGCAACTGGAGATGGAGTGAATCCTAAGGAAAACCAAAGTGGAAAAAGCTCAATTCTTTAATACATCTACATTTACAGCTCTTAATAATGACAATAGGATGGAAAAAGCAATAAATTCCCCCAATGAAAAACAAGGCCAATCCTTCAAGCAAAATGTTTCTTAACACTACTCTATCTTTTTGTGGTGATGGCATTTTTCTGTAACAAAATCATCCTACTAACAAAGAAAACTAACAAAAGAGCAACTGAAGTTGTACTAGTAAGTAGTAACTAGTGAGTTTCATTACAAAAGTAAAATCTTTATCTTTTTACCTTAATTTTGTGTACTGATGATTTTTAAAAAACTGAACACATCTAAAATTCCAGGACTGTGCATGAAGTAAAATGTATACACAATGCAAATGATCACTCGGTAATGAAGTAAATATTCTACAGTGTTTTAAAAAATACCTACTTAGAGATTCTACTTAAATCCTAGAATCTTCCCTCTCCCCCTGCCAACCTACTCACCTTCCATTATTTCTCTCACCTTCCTTCCACCTTTAAATTATTAATTAAATGAAATATGGTTTAAGTTCACTTGAGAAGAGGATTCTGAAAGTTATAATTCATTAATCCTTAGGTTCCCCCTTTAAAAATAACACTTTAGATCTATCATGAGTATTCCATAGGACACAAGTTTTTAAAAATGTTCTTATTCCAGGGGCACCTGGGTGGCTCAGTTGGTTAAGCTGCTGACTCTTGGTTTCAGTTCAAATCACGATCTCAGGGTCCTAGGATCAAGCCGGAGTCCAGGCTCTGCCCTCACCGGGGAGAGTGTGCTTGGGATTCTCCCTCCCTCTGCCTCTGCCTCTTCCTCTGTTTCTGCAAGCACGCTGTGTACACTCTCTCAAATAAATAAATCTTTAAAAAAAAGTTCTTATTCCATAATTACTTCTTAAACCACTGTTAAAAACAATGGTCAGGGGAACCTGGGTGGCTTAGTTGGTTAAGCATCTGCATCTGCTTTAGGTTCAGGTCATGACCCCAGAGTCCTGGGACTGAGCCCTGCATCAGGCTCCCTGCTCTGTGGGGAATCTGTTCTCCCTCTTCCTCTTCCTCTGCCCCTCCCCTCTGTTCTGGCATGTGCTCTCCCCCTCTTGCTCTCTCAAGCTCTTTGTCTCTCTCAAATAAATAATAAAATCTTAAAACACCACCACCACCACAATGGTCATACAATGAGAACACAAACACTATCAAAGTATAAAATAATTTAGTATATAAATCTGACCATTCATCAAGACGTTTCTAGATTTCTAGACTTACCAGTTTAATAACATTTTATTTTTTTAAAAAAGATTTTATTTATTCATTTGACAGAGAGAGAGAGAGAAAGAAGCATAAGGAGGGGGAGCAGCAGACAGAGGGAGAGGGGGAAGCAGGCTGCCCACATAGTAGGGAGCTTGATGCAGGGCTCGATTCTAGGACTCTGGGATCCTGACCTGAGCCAAAGGAAGGCGCTTGACTGACTGAGCCACCCAGGTGCCCCTAACAACATTTTAAAGTGTACAAGCTGTTTAAGAATTACACCATGGGCTCACTGGTTCTTCTCTATGAGAACTTATGCATCTACTCAAGGAAGACAAAAACCTACTGTGCTTAATTTTGTGCCCATAGAACCATCAGTTTAAGAAATACACAAATTGTTCTTTAAGTGATTCTGGAAACAGTACGCTGGCTAGGTCTCCAAAGTTTAGGAAATACGCTGGCTAGGTCTCCAAAGTTTAGGAAATACACACAAGAATAATTTATAACTAGGATAGCATATCAAATTCCCGTTTTCTCCTCTTTTATCCCACCTTTCTAGAATCTGGTTAATATCAGAGATAAACCTATCTTCTACAATCCATTTATTACTTTCTTTAAAGAGAGGAGCCATTTACTATGGTCCCTAGGGGCATCAGTCTGTGCAATTACAAGACTACCACCTAAAAGTGTAAAAAGTTTGAGAGGATATAAAGTAACCCAGAGCTAGCACCTCAAATTTAAAAATGTCTCTAGGTATGCAAAAAGTAAAAAGAAATTTTTTATAAACTGTAATATCATATTGGCTCCTAGGGAAGCAAGCAATGTATTTCAAAGTAACAATATTTTAAGTAGCAACACATCCTTAAGTAAGAGTTCTACGTTTTCATTTCAATGAACATTATCAACTTAATGGCCTTTTATCCCAAGTCATTTTTTGGGAGACTGTTAGGGTTTAAATTTTTTCTTTTTTTTAATCAGATAGCATGCACACGCACACAAGCAGGGGGAATAGCAGGCAGAGCAGGCAGAGCAGGCAAAGGGAGAAGCAGACTCCCTGATGAGC